ATCGAGAGGTGAGCGAACGCCGGTATGTGTTCCCTCACCTCCTGATCTACTGAGCCGACCTGTGACAGTCTCATTGTCACAGGTCGGCTTAGAACTATGAGGTGAGTGGAAATCACTCATGTCATAGTTCTCCTTTAAAGAGCTGCCTCTGGGTAGCAGTGCCTTAGATGATCCCACACTGCAGATATAGCGCTATGAAGCTATAGGCACAGGAGTGCCGAGACACCCCCACATACCAGGAAGTGCACTGCTAATTTTCAGGAGGAATTCAAGACAAAGGGAACATTTTTATTTAAGGTTCTTTACAAAGAAAATCTTTTACTTTTTATGAGTTTAGGCCTAATTTTACTTTAAGTCTATTTACGCATCATGCATGTTCATCCTGGCTGAGCGTAAATGTTTGTGTTCTGTGTAAACTCTTCTGGCACCAACATTATTGCTGCACTGCAGTCGCCGGAAAGATCCATCCTTGATGATCAGTAGTTCACTCCTAATGTACTGCATCGGTCACATGATTGTTTCCAGATCTCTTGGTTTTCAATTAGATTGAGTGAAAGGTGTCTGTGAACCTTAGCTTACTGATTGTTTTAATATCCATACAGTTTGCTTTGCTAGAAGTATGTACATGTATCTTCTACACGTGATTGTCACCTGACTATATCTCTTTATGCTGCCAGACTGTGCTGAGCTCCATAGAGTTTCTTTTTCTTGACTTCTGTGATGATGTATACACACCCTAGTTATGTTTTGGGGCAGGAGACTGTGTCGAGGACTTTGGATTGTAAGAGACTGTGAAGGAGATGTACTGTTAAGCTCTACTTGTTCAGACACTTTGGTTGGGACCGAGGCTCTGTTGGGGACTGTAAACTCCCTGGGAGGGCAGAGACTATGGTGGGGGAACTGGACTAGAAGGTCCTCTGCAGTAGACACTGTGGACATTGAACTGTAAACTCTTTCTGGAGCCAGAGACTGTGCTGGGGACATTGAATTGTAAGTTCCCTGTGGGGCAGACACTCCGGTGGGGTCACTGGACTGTAAGCTTCCTCTGGGACCATAGACTCTGGTGGGGACACTGGACTGTAAGCTCTGCTGCAGCAGAGACTCTGTCAAGGACCTTGAACTGTAAATTCCCTCTGGAGCCATAGACTCTGCTGGGGACATTGGACTGTAAGGCTCCTCCTGGTGGCAGAAATTCTGACGGGGCACTGTACTATAAGCTTCCATTTGGGGGCAGTGATTCTGGTGGGCACTCTTGGCTATAAGCTTCCCCTGTGGATATATATTTGGGTGGGGATACTGGACTATATGCTCCATCTGGGAACAGAAACTCTGGTGAGGACACTTGGCTGTAAGCTTCCTCTGGTGGCAGAGACTTTGATGGGGGCACTGGGCTGTAAGCTTCCTCTGGTGGCAGAGACTTTGATGGGGGCACTGGGCTGTAAGCTTCCTCTGGTGGCAGAGACTTTGATGGGGGCTCTGGGCTGTAAGCTTCCTCTGGTGGCAGAGACTTTGATGGGGGCACTGGGCTGTAAGCTTCCTCTGGTGGCTCTGGTGGCAGAGACTTTGATGGAGGCACTGGGCTGTAAGCTTCCTCTGGTGGCAGAGACTTTGATGGGGGCACTGGGCTGTAAGCTTCCTCTGAGGGGCAGAGACTCTGGGATATTATGCGCCTTCTTAAAGTGTTGTGTTCTGTCGGCTCAATATACTTATGGAAAATAATTACTTTGTTGTGTTCTTTTTTCCCTTTACAGTGATCAACAAAAGACCATGATGAGTAGGTGACGGGCTGTATTGGCCTCCAAGAAGGTTCTCACCTGTGGTCCTTCACCAAGACAACCTCTTTTAGGTAAGTGCTCTCAATAGCAAAATGTCATCATGTCCTGTGCTTGATCTGGTTCTTGCAGTGTAATTGTATAACTTTGTGTTATGCATCATTAACATGATACCTGTTCTGAGGTTAGGCAATAGACATCTTATCGAGTCACCAAACCCCGTCTCTGAGGTTGTTGTATAAGGCAATCACCATGTAACACCTTCGCTCTTCATATATCTGATGTTCCCTCCGCCTTCAGATATTCCAATGGCTGACCAAAGAATGGATATCTCCTCAACCATAAGCGACTTTATGTCCCCGGGCCCCACCGACCTCATATCCAGTTCCCTCAGCACAAGTGGAATGGAGTGTAACCGCAAGAGGAAAGGGAGCTTGACGGACTACCAGTAAGTAGTCTTATTCTGAACATCTATTTATATTTATTAGACCATACTTCTGTGGGTAATAATTTTCCAGGAAATGGGTAAAACAGGTTTGTGGTAATTCTCTGGGGAAAAATGCTCTTCAACCTTTAAGATAGCCACTGAGAAATGGGGATGTATACTATTCTGAGTCTCTACTTTTACTTTTTGCAGGCTTTTGTCTCAGGAATGGCAGTTTGTGATGTTGTTTAGTGGTATTCTCTCCCTGTCAGATCTGTCAGCCCAGAATCAGGCTGTAGGGCCTGGCATGGAGGCTGTCTTGTTTCCTGTCGGAGGGCAGATGACATTATCCAGGCTGCTGGAGGTGTAGACTTGTAATCTTGACAGCACATTTGTTATATAATCATTTTCTTTAAGCCTTTGTTTTCAGCAGTGAGCTGAGGTAGGAGCTAGAATGGCTTTACAGCCTGACCCAAGCCTGAGATTTCTGCTGTGACAGGGAGCGAATACAACAAAACAAGATAATACCTGACAGGTAAAGCTGTTATAACATAGTAGAGATTCCTCCATCCAGGCTGATTAGCGTGGATGGGGGAATGGATTGATTTCCCTCATACAGCCCGCATATGGTGTATAGCAGGGGTAGTCAAGCTCCGGACCTTCAGCTGTGGTGAAATCCCATCATGCATCTGCCTCTGGGAGTTCTTGCATGTGACAGTCAGTCTTGCAGTACTTAAAGGAGAACTATGGGGTCAGGGCTTTTTCACATAGTTCTCCTTAGGGTAACGGGAGGACACAAACTAGCGTCCTCTCGTCACCCTAAGCTCAGTATACCGCGAGCTACAGCTCACTATATACTGAGACGCTGCAGCGGATCCCGACATCGATGTCGAGATCCGCCCAGCTACGTGAGTGACATCTGGCTCTGCCTATCTAGAGGCAGAGCCAGCTGTACCCGCCCCCACCCCCGTCCGTTCCGCCAGTCAGCGCTGGCGGATCGGAGCGGGGGGAATCCAGCCCCTCCCATGTCACGGCAGCGAGCCGTGACAGGATCGAGAGGTGAGCGGACGCCGGTATGTGTTCTCTCACCTCCCGATCTACTGAGCCGAACTGTGACAGTCTCATTGTCACAGGTCGGCTAGAACTATGAGGCGAGTGAAAAGCACTCCCCTCATAGTTCTCCTTTAATGGGATGGATAGATGAACCACAGCTGGAGGGACGAAATTTGGCTACCCCTGGTATAAAATGTATGGCCAGCTTAAGTTGTTAAGCCAATCTGACAGGAGGCAAATGACCTGCCTCTGATAGAAGCTGTCATTTTCCAGCTGTAGGCTCTTGCTGAAATGGCACTGAAGCTGAATATGTTCAGCTTCACTCAAAACTAGTCAATTGTGACTACACCATCTATAGCTTCATCACCACCAGTTATAAATATTCGCTCTCCCTTCATAGATACGACGAGAGGTTGGAAATGACGTGGCATTATACAGGCCGCAGAGCTGAATGTGTTCTGGAGTTTCTATAGTAACCACATTGACTTTCTATAGTTTGATGCGTAGGACCATCTTGACTTTAGAGAATATGCAATGTACGGTTTATTTTTTTGCCTTTATAATGGAAGGAGAGCAATAGGCCTTTGTTTTATTAATAGCTTATCAATGGCAACCCACAGATGTGAATCCCATCTAAATGTTTTTAATCCAAGTACCTGTATTAGATGTGGTTTATGCCTCCGATATTCCCATTATAAGCAGAACACAGACAGGGAGAGGCAGTACTTTGAGCCAATCAGGTGAGCCTTAGCACACATGTGCTGGTAAAGGAACATGCTGACAGGAGGAGAAATTAGGGATTATCTCAGGAGCTGCTGCTTCTTTACCGTCCAATCACAGGCTGGGGGTGGGGAAGTGTACTAGCTGTAGCTGCAGAGAAAGGGCAGGTCGCCAACCTGGTGGTAGGGCTGCGTATGAGCAATATATATATATATATACACACACACACACACACACACAGTATAAATGTATTTAGCAGTTTGCCTGGATTTCTCCTTTGACATAACTACTGGAAAATGAACTGCAAAAAAGTATGCCGTACTTTCCCTTTAACACACAGAAAACACATTGCAGTGCCTTACATTGAAATAAATGTGGTGTGCGGGGTTGGTCCTCTTTGATTTCCTGTTTCCATTTCTTTTGGAAAATCTCTGCGCTGCATCCACACATCAGCTGAGTTCGGGAGAGGATTGCAGCGGGTGGGTCCTCCAGTGATTCACACAAAGACGGTCACTAAAAACGGTCTATAACTGGCTTTTTAGTCTTCATTATGGGGGTTATTCACTAGTGAGCCGAAGGGCTGCTGTACGGGATATGCACAATAGCCCGAACAGCAGCAGAAGCGCTAAGCCGAGCCGAAGCATATGCGTTCTCCCTGCAAATTGTAAACAAATAGTTAAAAAAAACAACAACGTACCAAACCCTTTAGGTCAGGTTAGAATGTTAGGAGGGACCCCCCCGAGTTAAAAAGAAAAGTGTGTGAGGTTCCCCCAAAAGGTCATACCAGGCCCAAAAATGGAAAAAAATGTGAGGTTCCTCCTAAAATACCAAACCGGACCCTTAATCGGAGCACTGGCCTGTCAGGATAGAAAAGGGGGAGACGAGCGAGCAGCCCCCCCTCCCTGTGCCATACCAGGCCACATGCCCTCGGCATTGGGAGGGTGCTTTGCCAGGAGTCCACCCTGGAATAGCACCTTGTCCCCATGCCAATGGGGACAAGGGCCTCTTCCCCACAACCCTGACCCGGTGCTTGTGGGCGTCTGCAGGCAGGGGGGCCTTATTAGCATTGGGGTACTTGTACCCCTACTCATTCACTAAAGGGTTACATCAAAATGAGACCAGACTTTTAGAAAAAATCCTTTTAATAACAAAACTAAAAACCCCAAAACAATAAAAAAAAAATTATCCAACGAGAAGTAATTCCAGGGTCAGTCACGTTGCCCAATGATGTCCACGACCCCGCCGACTCGTCAAAATAAATAAGAAAAGCGACACTCGCTGCAGAATGAAATTTTGACAGGTGACGGCCGAATGGCAACAAATGGGCGGAGTCAACTGTGATGTCACCGCTTGTTTCGCCCATTTGTTGTCATGTAATGACAGGCCACTGTCGTCAGGTCATTAGGGCATACTGATGCTTTTATGTACAGCACCCTGCCAGCCCCTCCCACCAACCATGATCTTTCTGCATTGTATAGAGAAGCACATTGTGAGAAAGCTCACAGTGTGCAGTGAAATCAGAGTGAGCAAATTATTTTTTCTCCATCTTTCCGTTTAGTTGGCCCAGCAAAGTGGCTTAGAGGATAGCACTTCTGCATGGAGTTTGCATGCTGCTTGCGTGGGTTTCTTCCGGGTACTCCGGTTTCCTCCCACACTCCCAAAGACATGCTGGAAGGTTAATTGGCTCCTGTCCATATTGGCCCTGTTTGTATGTGAGCATAGGGACCTTAGATTGTAAGCTCCTCGAGGGCAGGGACTGATGTGAATGTGGGACTGATGTGAATGTGGGACTGATGTGAAGCGCTGTGTAAACTGTCTGCAATATATAAATACCTGTAATAAATAAATAAAACCTCCTCGGATACATTTTGTATGCTTATATGTCATCTCCTTCGTATATTACAATACATAAATGACATTTCATATCATATCTTTCTCTTTTCATCTTTTAGGCTTGACAGTTTTTCTTTTGAGTAAGTATACAGCATTTTTTTTTTCACTTAGACTGCCAGCGCACACCAAAAATGCTCAACCATCTCTTGTGACCTATTCATAAACTGGTTTCTCTGTTCTTCTTCTTTACTTGAACCCCCCATAAGATTCACATTTACCTCACTTTCCTAAATTGCATCTAAATCCAAAAGTACAAATGCAATATCTAGTTCATGGACAGATTTGGGTCACTTTATTAGAATTTTATACCTGTATTTTTTTAATCTAAAATGTTGGTCATCATTTTGCCGCCAAATCCAGAACTGAACTTTTGCTTATTGTTTCACTTTCTGTAGTGAAAGGAGCATTTATTCTGCCATGCTGAAGGCTCTCAAAGCCCAACCTCAGCCAAAATGTATCTTTGTTTTGGACAGAGAGGGGAAGGGTTAGAACCGTTGTCAGATTTTTATTTGCGGCCTGTGTGTCCTAGAAAAACAAGCAATATCCTGTTCATCTGGGGGAAACGTTTTTTTTTTTTTTTCTCTTAAGCACTGCCCAGAGTTGGGCTTCAATCTCCTATCCAAGTGGCAGCAAACCAGAAGGACAGGAAAGCTCTCCATTTTCTTTGCTATATGCCTCTCACTCGCTCTTCTATTACAGCTTAGTGCAAAACAGTAAACTCCCCGTTATCGGGCATTCATGGGGATGGGTAGATTAAGGATAAATGTAGTTTCTGGTTGCTTGAGAGTAACTATTAAAAATAGGTCTAACTAATGCCATACCCCCATACTATACCCCATACCCCACCCAATAATATACCCCATACTATACCCCATACCCCACCTAATAATATACCCCCATACTATACCCCATACCCCACCCACTAATATAATCCCTTCCCACCCCCATACTATACCCCCATATTATACCCCATACCCCACCCAATAATATACCCCATACCCCACCCACTAATATAATCCCTTCCCACCCCCATACTATACCCCGTTACTATACCCCCATACCTCACCCAATAATATACCCCATACTATACCCGCATACTATACCCTAAACTCTGTATTGACTTCATATTAATATTGAAATGCAGTAATCAAAGGCAAATTAAGATAAATAGGCACACAATCGTTTCTAGGATAATACATGCTGCAGGACAGTGAGTACACAGGGGATTTTTTTTCTGGTTAGATGAAAGTTCTGGTTAGTTGAATGCCGGATAACTGAGAGTTTGCTGTATTTGACCTGTGATGTGATTGTGCCAGGAGCTTTATAGTCATACTGACAGTAGAGAACGATAGGCTACCCATCTACCGGCTCCTAGCAGAGTCTGCATCTGAGGTCTGACGTTTTATGTTCCAATAGTGAAGTTATCCATTAGGACAAGGGTGGGCAACTCCAGCCCTCCAGCTGTTGCGGAGCTACAAGTCCCATGAGGCATTGCAAGACTGAAAGCCGCAGGCATGACTCCCAGGGGCAGAAGCATGGTGGGTCGTAGTTGCCCTCTCCTGCTTTAGGAGGTCACATCTCCTTTAACCTACCAGCTTCTGGATTGTAAAGGATACCAGAGCTTCTGTAGAAAATGCACATGAGGAGAAATAGAAACTCCATGCAGACCGTACAATGATAGGACCTCAGTACTTTTACACAGCACTGATGAGCACCATGACGCTGGATCAATTAGCCCGACTTTTCTAAAAAGGAACTCTTGAAATAATTTTCAGGCCTTGGAGAACCACTTCTAAAACCCATTTATTGGGGGCTAGTGGGAAGAATGCCCCACTTATAGTGTCGGTCAGAATGCCACCTTTGGGAATGGCTTCTTCAGTCTGTTGCTGTTCTTTTATGTGTCCCTATATAATTGCTATCATTTCAGTAAGAAGAAGCTTTATAGTATGACTGGACATTTTGCTCACATTAACGAAACTTTATTTGTTTAATTCACAGCCATGGGGAAGGCATGGATACTGACAAGGATGATCCACATGGGATGTGAGTAGACTCCAAAACCCACTTATGGCTTAGAACGCATTCTGTTCACTGTATGATCAATTGGCGAGCACGCGTTTGTGTGATTTGCTGTCATCCTTTTAAACAGCATGTTGCGTTTGGCGGGCGGTGCCACTTGCCAAACATGATCATTGAAATCAATAGTGGTCATGTGACTTTGCGGCACAGTATTGCAAGTTAAACACCCCATTGGGCCGAGCAGCCGCTGCTCTACCGGCCTCTGTGAAGCAATCCACCGTGGACTGCTTTTCAGAGGGGCAGCGTCTCAACAAGGCATTAAAGTGAACCTGTTATATCTCCAAATCTGATAAACTCTAAGCAACCCAGCAAAGCAGAGTTTCAGAAGAGATCCAGGTGGTGCTGGGACTTCACCCCATGTTCAATGACAAGAAAATAATCATTTAAAAAGCTCACTGGCTCTGGCTTGGGAACTCACACCAAAGAAATAGGACTAACCTCCAGTAGGTATCTAGAAAGACATTCAAAGCATTCACCAAAAGAAGGAGCACCAGAAAAGATTATTTTTATTATTATTATTATTATTATTATTATTATTATTATTATACAGGATTTATATCGCTCCAACAGTTTGTGCAGTGCTTTACAATATAGGGAAGACATTACAATCACAATACAAATCAAGACAAGATGGTAAGGAGGGCCCTGATCCTGAGGGCTTACAATCTAATAAGAGTCCAAATTTGTTTAATGGTTCACACATGAAAGCTTCAACACTTTCATTGTCTTCAACACTGGTTTGACTTCCTACTGACACTTGTGTTCCAATAACACATCATTGCCACACTGAAGAATATAGGAAGCATTATTTGTGTTCAGATTTCTCACTACATCTTAAGCCCTGGCGAAGAGGGAGTTTTTTTGACCCCCGAAACGTGTTGGCTTTTCTTCATATGTGAACCATTAAATAAATTTGGACTCTTAGCATCCGGCCCCAGTGCTCCTTCTTTTGATCAGCAAGGCAAGGTGACTGCTTGTATCTTTCACGTCTCCAGAACTTATAAGCACCCGGGGAGCCCCTGATTGCTCTGTTACTGATATTCTTCACAAGGGGTGCTGTCCTGTCCCCCCACAGGCCTCCCACAATGCAACCTGGACAGCTCTCTATTGACTACTGGAACTTCACAGTTAATAAACAATAAGAAGGAATTGAAGGCTCTTTACAATTGCGGTTTTTTTTTGGGATTATATTAGAACTTAATTATTTAATGTTATGCTTGCAATCGGCAGACTTTGGGTTCTCTGTTTTACAGCGGTTACATATACACTTTCTGTTTTAGGTTGGAGTATCCTGAAGGTCGGATTAAAAACGCACGGTGAGTCACACTGCAAGTACCAATTACCGAGCGATGTGATTGCGGCTAATCTTTTCACATGACCTCGTACAGTTTTATTTTAATACGGCCACTTGTTCTCTTATAGAACCCAAAACAACCTTTAGTTAAATATTTCGTCAATGTAACGTGGGCGGGGCAGCCAACAATTAAATGAGGGGGTAATAAATCTGGTCACCATGACTCGGCAAGTGTAATTGTTGCATTTCAAATAGATACATTGTGTCATTGTGGTTTTTATTGTAGATAAATAGATACATTGTGTCATTGTGGTTTTTATTGTAGATAAATAGATACATTGTGTCATTGTGTTGTTGTTGTTTTTTGTAGATAAATAATTGTGTTTTTATTTTTCAATCCATACTTTGCTTGTCGTGTGTTTCAGGGAGGCGCACAGTCAGATTGAAAAGCGGCGCAGGGATAAAATGAACAGCTTCATAGACGAGTTGGCATCTCTAGTGCCCACGTGTAACGCCATGTCGCGGAAGCTGGATAAGCTGACGGTGCTGCGAATGGCGGTGCAGCATATGAAGACACTACGAGGTGGGTGGTCCTGCAATCCGCACCGATATCCATTCACTCACATAGCATTCAAATAGATGGGTGTCTGTTATTCTTAACCCTAAGTGTTATTCATACTTTGCTAATATGCCCCCCTAAAGTGGTGTCACCTCAGCTCATAATACCATCCTTGCAATATTCATTCCCCCGAAAAGTTATTCCTGAGTGATTACTGTGAACAATGTCAGTGCAGGCATTGGGTTATATGTGATGTTTCCTCCCCATCTACAGGTGCTACAAACCCGTACACAGAAGCTAACTACAAGCCGGCCTTCCTATCAGACGACGAGCTGAAGCACTTGATTCTCAGAGTGAGCTGGTTTTATTGTTCACTTTTATATCTGCCGGGCACAGCAAGCAGTACAGGAGCTTTAGAGAAAGGACAGTCTTGATGTATTTAAGATGTTTTTACTAAGGCCATGGCTATCATTCAGATGCAGAACTTGTGGGCTGACATGAGCCTGATTTATCGGCGAAGGAAGTAATTGCATTTCGTCGTAACAACACATTGATACATCAGGTTTATTTGTGTTAGCACATCAAATTTGTTTTGGGTGGAGCTCCTCTTTAAAGAATAAGTGCGCCTTTGTGAATAGAAATTGATATCTTGTTCCACATGCCTGCTGAATCAATGTCGGCAGTTTGCAGCCTTGGAAATATGATTTTCCTCCTATACAGGACAGAAGTCCTGAAAATATTTGTCCATTATTTATTTAGGGGGTTATTCACGAAGGAGCCGAAGGATCCAGTCGTAGCTTCGGCTGATCCTTCGGCCGCTGGAGCCCTTCGTTTCATTCAAACTGAAGGGCTGCTGTATGGGCTCTTTACTATAGCCCATACAGCAGCCGAGCTGAAGGCTGAGCCGAAGTGACACCCGAAGCAGGGCGAACGGCCCGCCAAGTCCAGCTGCAAACCCCGCAAATAACAGCTGGGCGGAGCCAGCCATTATCTTACGGCTGGCTCCGCCCAGTTGCAATGACAGCTCAGCGTCCCCAAATGACCTGGGGATCCTGATCTGTCATTAAACAATAACAACTGGGCGAAGCCGGCCGTGACGTTACAGCCGGCTCCGCCCAGTTGTTATTCATTGTCCGGGATCTGCTAGAAGACACTAGCAGGTGCCGGCCAATGGGGAAACAGTTGGGCGGAGCTAGCTGTCACTGCTAGCTCAGTCCAATTGGGGTTTTTATCATTTTTTTCTTTTTAAACATTTTTTTTTTCCACTTTTTTTTATTTTATATTTTTCATTGATTTTCTATTCAGCTTGGTACCAGAATGGGGCGAATAGGGATGAACAGCAGCGAGTTAGCTGCGGAGCTTTGGCTCAGCCGATCCAGATGTTCGATCGCCTGAGTCGAAGTCCCTCTGCACTGAAATCAGCCGCGTTGAGCCGGAGTGAATAGCCGAATGTCGTTTGGCTCACTTCAGCTGGCTTAGTCACTTGGCTGCCTCCAAGAGCTTTGTGAATAACCCCCTTAATTTCTTTTAAGCCAATATTATTTCAGAGAACTGTGTTTAACCAGTTGTGGACACTGGATGTGCTGCACATGCCCCCCAAAAAACTAAATTGAAGTACATATGGCATATGTAGTACACCCTGTCCTGTCCCTGGTGTCAAAGGGATGCCAAATTTACTGCCAAAGCAATAGAGCAGAAATGTAAGAACTGCTCTGGACCATGGGGTGTACAGGTATGAGAGCTGAAGGGGTTAAATCTGAAAGAGTATTTTATAACCGAAAGGGATAGTGATTTGTGTTTAGTGGTATAGGAAGACTAGCTGGCCAGTGAGCTAAAGGGAGCCCAGGGATGCTGTATTTTACATAACTTTCCATTTCCTGACCTCTTTATTACACATAAGGCAAGGTATTAGTAGGGCTGTCAGGGGACAGCAGGAAAAGGGTAATCTTTCCAAACTTGCTTGATTTTCCTGGTTATAGAAAGGTGATGAGTTACCTAAAGAGTTCACTTATTCTTTAAAGTGTAAACAAATGACTGACAGGGAGAAGTTATTACAGGGTGTCGGTGGATAGTATATTGGTCATGTAAAGGAAATGATAGAACACTGGCAGCAGTGAGTCACAGGGTGTAGGCATATTACATGCCCAGCAAAGTATGTCTATAACTCAGGCTCTTAGGTTATTGGTGTTTTTTGCTGCCGCTGTGTTTTCTTCTTCTTGAACGTGTTTCTTGTTTAAAGGGACACTCTTCATTTAGATGTGAGAATAATGCATGGCGCAGACTGCACCTGCACAGCCCTCCTGCCTTTGTTTTCATCTTCACTATCGCTTGAGTACACCAAGTCAGCACACGGAGCGTTCAGTTTAGCAGAAATGAGTTTTTTGGAGGGGACACCTTATCCCTGAGGTCTGTCAATCTACAAATTAGGGATTCCCATCTCCACCCATCGGTCTCTCTGCAGCCTGATGCATTCCCCTTATTGCTAAACAGAAGGATTCACTGCTCTCCTGTGCCATCTACAGAAGCTTTTGCAGAGGCACGGAGATCACAGAGTGCAGGGCTGCGTATATTATTATTATTATTATTAATATACAGGATTTATATAGCGCCAACAGTTTGCGCAGCGCTTTACAATATAAGGATGACATTACAATCACAATTCAATTCAAAACAAGATGGTAGGGAGGGCCCTGCCCCTGACGGCTTACAATCTCAAAGGGAGGGACAAGTGATAGATGAGGAGGTAGCTGTGTGGGGATGAATTGTTTGAGAGTGGTCAAGTTGAGATGGGATAGGCTTCCCTGAAGAGATAAGTCTTAAGGGATCGCCTTAGGCAGTCAAAGTGGGAGACAGACAGGTTGGGGTAAAGAGTTCCAGAGAATGGGAGAGACTCTAGAGAAGTCCTGGAGGCGAGCGTGGGAGGAGTTGACGAGGGAGCTGGAAAGCAGAAAGTCTTTGGAAGAGCAGAGGGGACGGTTAGGGTGATACTTTGAGACCAGGTTGGAGATATAGCCGGGGGCAGAGTTGTGAATGGCTTTGTAAGTCATTGCCATTGTCACTATTTTAGCAGGCCTCCATCCCAACGGAAGTCACTGCAGACCATTGCACCAGCCCCATTAACATCTCTGGAGCAAGCTCAGCTAACACTACAGCAACTGACAATCAAGGCTGATACACTATTTAGCAGACGTGTAGTAGTAGACGCACTTCACAGCCAAGTTCACATTAAAGGTACAATCATGCAGCAAGACATCGGCACAGTTACATTGGCAGTTGAATGATTTGTTTTCCTCGCCGCATCGATTCCCAGTGACCTTATCAGTGCCTGGAGTCTGTGCCAAGTGTTCCCTTCATTTGGCCAGATCAGAGTTCATATTAAAAAGTCAGATTAGTTTATACAATTATAAATCCTGTATATATATATATTATAAAGAGAGACGGATATTTCCTGTTTCCTGTCAGTAGTACCAGAAGGGTCAGAAGTACTTTAGGCCAAGATACACGGCTTGTGAGCTGAACAGGAGAAAGTCAGCTGATTGCCCCTCCATGCTGGCAGCGCGGATGGAAGAATCTCCACTGCCAACTAATGTACTGAGGCAGCCGCAGCACACATGGCCGTCTGCCGCTGCTGAACAGTGACTGCATCTGATAGGGTGCAATCACAGTTGGGCCGATCATTTTTCACTACAAACAGTGTTGCTTGTATGGCCTCACACGGCTTGAATTTGGTTTAATTCAGCAGGATGTGGCCTCTATTTGAGCTGTCTATAGGGACCTTTTAGGGAGCATACTCCAGTCCTCATCTGTTCTCATTTTCAGTATTCCAGTCCCCACTGTGGACATCCTGACATGTCCACACCTCTCCACAGTGGCCACTTCTCACCCCTGAGTCTGTGGTCCAGGCTATGATATAATGTGCACTTTTCCATCTTTCCTTCTCGGATTTGCCCCATTATCGTCGATCTTTAACTTCTAATCTGTGACTCCATATAACCCTGGTTCTATGGTGCAGGCTGTGCCCTCTGTGCTGCAGGCTGTTTAATCTGGATTTTTCCACTCATCCACTGTAACCCCATCTTCCCTTCTCTTGGGTAGATTTGCCCCATTATCATCACTGCTTATCTCCTTATGTGGCTCAATTTCCTCCTGATTCTATGGTGCAGTCTGTGCCTGCTCTGTCTCCTACTGGCTCTATGGTGCAGGATGTGCCCACTCCATCTCTCCTAGCTCTATGGTGCAGGCTCAGCCTGCTGCCTCTTCCCCTGGCTCTTTGGTGCAGGATGTGCCCGCTCCATCTCTCCCTAGCTATATGGTGCAGGCTATGCTTGCTGCCTCTTCCCCTGGCTCTATGGTGCAGGATGTGCCCGCTCCATCTCTCCCTAGCTCTATGGTGCAAGCTCTGCCTGCTGCCTCTTCCCCTGGCTCTATGGTGCAGGATGTGCCCGCTCCATCTCTCCCTAGCTCTATGGTGCAGGCTCTGCCTACTGCCTCTTCCCCTGGTTCTATGGTGCAGGGTGTGCCCGCTCCATCTCTCCCTAGCTCTATGGTGCAGGCTCTGCCTACTGCCTCTTCCCCTGGTTCTATGGTGCAGGGTGTGCCCGCTCCATCTCTCCCTAGCTCTATGGTGCAGGCTCTGTCTGCTGCCTCTTCCCCTGGTTCTATGGTGAAGGATGTGCTTGCTCCGTTTCCCCCCGGTTCTGTGCTGCAGTCTCTGCTGCACCCTTACAGTGCATTGATGAGCTGTTTTTATGCACATAATGTTCCTGATTGGTATAATCAATCCTGCACTTTAATATTTGGCAGCAAAAAAATGGGTCAGTGACAATGAGTTCTGTCGAATGAGTCTAAGGGGTGATAACAGACAGCGGCAGAGTATCATGTTGATTGGTGCAATCAGCCCCACACCTTTTAGTATTTCTGCTATTTTTACTATTCTAGTTGTTGGCCTTAAAAAAAAACTGTTTTAATTTATTTCTATATTGTGTTCTGTTTTTTTTTCTTACTGGTAATATTTGGTTCTTGTTCTGTCCCCCCAGTCAGCGGATGGATTCCTCTTTGTGGTGGGCTGTGACCGTGGAAAAATCTTATTTGTGTCAGAATCTGTTTTCAAAATTCTCAATTATAGCCAGGTAAGAGCCAATGTCTTCCAATGTGTTGGCATGATACATAGATCCTGATACAAGGCTCCCAGTATGTGCACTGCATGAGTTGTGCCCCCCCCAAAATGTGTAGCTGTTTAAATGCATAAGTTGGGGGCCCCAATATGTCGAGCTGTGTAAATGGCACTGCATGCATTTAAAATGTTGTTAGCGTTTTTATTGAAAAATGAATATGCATTGAAAAGCATTTTTTGATCCAGTGCCATGCATTTTCTGTACCTCACATGCGTTGTACACACGTTTACAACTTCCCGCTAGCAATGTGTTAACAGCCCGCGATTTTAGAATGACCTGCAGCATCACCTAAGGCCATTACTTCATACTTTGCTCTGGTCAGCAAGCTTGAGGTATGTCGTGCACTAGAACGTGACCGACTTACATCACCAATCCTCCTTGTCCTGCCCTCACCGTGCCCCAGAATACATAACCAGATTAAATGGTGTCTGCCTTTGGAGCTAAGCCCTCCCCACCTGCCATTCTACTAGTCCAATTAACAGCATGGTTATGAGATGCTGCAGATGATCAGTCTTTACATAGACCTGTGTTTTCCCAACCCGTTATCATGTCTTGCCAATGCTTCTATTATCTGTGTATGTCCACACAAAGCTGAACCGATTTCTGCAGACACCGACAGGTTCACCTGTGCATAGGTGAGCTTACGTGCAAACAGGAACTGCGTCCTGGGATGTGAGGACTGGTTTGGGAAACACTATAGTAAGAAAAAGTTGTACAAATATAGAATATTATCCAGTGACTATAATGTCTTTGTTGGGGACTTTTGTGAACCCAATCACTGAGGATGTCAGATCTGTGGGGGCCTCTGCTGGTCACGTGTGGTAATACTGTCTGAGTTTTGGAATAGACTAAAAACCACCAAGGATCCTTCAATGATGTGCTGTCCGGTGCTGCCATTTGAAAGGCCATTTTATAAGGGCTGCAGAAATTACAGAAGGTCTGCGTTGCCCTTCGTAACCAATCAGAGCTTCTCTTTTCTCTGTATTGTTGAAAAATGACAGCCGGAATCTGCACAAGGATTTTATCCACCACACGACTGTGTTGCAGAGACTTCTTTATTTTAAGTTTGCAGGAGCCGTTTTTGCATTTTTTTTTTTTCATTTTGCACACGTTAAAATGTACATTTTTAGTCCAGAAAATGTATATATTTTTTGAAACCCTGAAAAATAAAATGGTGGATGTTACAATGTATTTATACTCCGTGTCTCCTGTGTGTGATCTGAACTCCATGGAAAGTCTCAATCATCCATGATGTGTCTGCTTTCTGTTTCAGAACGATCTCATCGGGCAGAGCTTGTTCGACTATCTCCATCCAAAAGACATTGCCAAAGTGAAGGAGCAGCTTTCCTCTTCAGATACGGCTCCCCGGGAAAGGCTCATTGATGCAAAAAGTACGTCCCAATTTGGAGTCTGCTCTTTGTGTTCATAGAATGCCTACATATCGTTCTTGCAGCTCCCCCCCCCTCCTGATGAGATTTGGATCTGTTAAAAGGAACATGGCGGTGAATAGTGAGAGCGTCTGCTGCTGCTTTGTTTTTAAGGTGCAAATTCCTGGGCTGTCTTGCTCATCCTTGGTTTACAAGAGGAAGTCAGAGCCACTAGGTGTCACATGACCATGATTGCTGCTGCTTCTTCTTCCTTCTTAAATATGTACCGTTAGAGTTTGATTTGTCAGTCAGGAAGATTTACTACACACTTCACCTATTCCCATCATATACAAAGTATATGTGGTTTTGTGAACAGCTGGTTTTGGCTTAGTTAGTGTGCTTGGATGTTGTTTGGGGTTTGTAGAACTTCCTGATTGATACCAGTTGCTTAGCTCGACCTGGACGACATGTTCCTATTGTGGGGCTCAAGCAGAGTTCAGTTGCTAACTCCACCTCTGAGCATGCCTGAGCTCAGTATTGTTTCTGTGTGACATGCCTCCCTCCCTCTGCATGATTAATGATGGAGCTGTTCTCAGGCAAGTGCCTGGAGCCCTGAGACGAGCGCTGTCAATCACAAATGATTAGGTATTTGTCTCCTGCTAAAGGTTCTCAACCTGTGGGTCGGGACCCCTTCGGGGGTCGAATTACAATTTGCCCGGGGTCGTCGGGAGTCTCCCACTATTAGATAGCTATTTGATTATCATCATTATTATTATTAATAATAAAAGCTGACACCCTCGGCTTGTGTTATATGGTTTGCCATTTTAGCTGTTACAACAGTGGTTCTCAACCTGTGGGTCGCTGTGTGATTTCTGCTGTGCTCGGTGAGAGTCCTCCTCGGCTCTCTCCTAGCGCAGCAGTGTCAGTTCTCCCGCCACGCTGCCAGATGTCGCTGCAGCAGCCGCGTCATCCCTAAATTTTACCGTTGGGGGTCACCACAACTTGGCAAATGTTAACAAGGGGTCCCGGCCCCAGAAAGGTTGAGAACCACTGTGCTAAACAATGTATTCGAACAGCAGTGGGGAAAGTGGGGCACGCTGTGGACCACTCTAGCTTAGCATCTGCAGCAATTATTAAAATGGGACAAAGTGCTACATGCACTTTGTCCCCTGGAGGAACAGAAAGTTTCCGATGCGACTTAAAGGAAGCTTTTTGATGTTCTCCTTCTCACCTGATGATTGCTAAAGCTATAACAGATTTTTTTTCTCCAAGAATGTGTTTTTACATCCAGTGTCTGTTTGTTTACCAGCGGGGCTCCCCGTCAAGACAGACATCACCCCAGGACCATCGCGGCTGTGTTCTGGGGCCCGGCGATCGTTTTTCTGCAGAATGAAATGCAATCGACCTTCAGTAAAAGTAGAAGACAAAGATTTCCCCTCCAACTGTTCGAAAAAGAAAGGTTTGTCAAGTCCCTGCAAGCCCTACTAGTGAAATAAATAAGATTTAGAGTCTCATCAACGATTATTATGTGTTTGCAGGAGACAGGAAAAGTTTTTGCACTATACACAGCACTGGGTACCTGAAGAGCTGGCCGCCCACGAAGATGGGATTGGACGAAGATAACGAGCCGGATAGCGAGGGCTGTAACCTTAGCTGCCTTGTCGCCATAGGCCGTTTACACCCACACATAGTACCGCAGCCTGCCAATGGGGAGATCAGAGTCAAATCCACAGAGTACGTCTCGCGGCACGCCATCGATGGGAAGTTTGTATTCGTAGATCAAAGGTAAGAAGTTGATCCGATGCCTGGGGGCATTTTATGACATCGTTGTGGAAGGGTTTAAAGTGGATCTAAAATCAAAGAAAATTTAAGCCAGTTCCTGAAATCTGAATGAAGCTTTACCATGTTATCGTCAATTCAAAAGTCATTTAAAGCCTAAGCTTTCATTGAAATCATCCCTGGTTATCCTGCTGTAAGAAGATCCTTCCTGTTAATGCAGGACACAAGTCACCCCATATCACCCTATCACAGGCACCCCTAGAGCTGACCACAAGGAGCTGAGTAGTTCTCCCATTTGCAAAGATCATGCTCTCTGCTGATTTGGGGAACTCTAGCTGTCATTCAGCAGGAGGTGTGTTAGAACTCTGCAGAGAGACCACTGCTTCCACACAGAGAACAAGGCTTTTTCTATGCGGCATGCTGATGTTCTACTCAGGCTGTGGCTGCTTTCTTAAGAGACTGCCCATTAAGATTTTGTTTTAATGCGCCTGGAATGTATATAACTGATCTAATCTGAGAGTTCAGTTGGGATGTAAAGTATCTTATGTCTGTGTTGCCTGTTAAGCGATGGTTAGAGGGAGCAACACATGTGAAAACATTTTTAGAATAAGGCAGCATTGGTCCCAATGGTCCTGCAAAGTCATGTACAGAGTATTGAGGTAGAGTGCGCTGCCACCAAGTCATAGCTGGGCTGATGTGATTGGAGCAGTGTGTGTGTGTGTGTAGAACAGCGCAGGGGTAAAGTCCTTTAGCACCCAAGGGGAAAAGGCCAAAAGTGGGAATTCTGTCTCCCACCCCATGCACTAAACTATTTCAGCAGCATAGAGTGCAGGTCCTTCACTTTTTTGCCTCCACCCCACCCCACAGAAGAACCCACGAAGCACCCAAGGCAACAGCATCTTATGCCTACCCCTCGGCCTGGCCTGGTCCTTGTAATCTCATCCCCATGGCAGCCTGTAACTCAGAGCTGTGCTCTTTGAGGAGATGGGAAAATCTTCCTATGTTATTGGCACGTCGAGTGGTTAGAGAGGACTCCTCCATAGGTTGTTTTACAGACAGGACAAGGGATCCTAAGATACAAAGCTGAAAATGGGGATGGGACTGTGACACGCTGACCACCGGCTGTATGATTTGTATAATGACTCTGTGCTGACAGGTAATCTTTAAATATGTTTATTTCTTTAACAGGGCAACCGCCATTTTAGGGTACTTACCACAAGAATTATTAGGGACGTCGTCGTACGAGTATTTCCACCAGGACGACATTGGGAACCTCGCCGAGTGCCATAGACAAGGTACCTCAGCTTAGCATTGGCAGTATAAATATGATTTTTATTTCCAAAGGATTCTACTTTCTATAAAATGTTCAGAACAGAACTGTGTGTGTTTATGCTGGAAAGTAAAACCGGGGGGGGTTTATGGTCAGGTGAGCCAAAAGGAACCGGAAAACATCGACTGAAGCCGAGCTCTATAATACACCGTATGTGATGTGCTGTACACCAGTATTTCTGGATACACAGTTGGTCCAGGGGTACAAAGGGAAAATCTGCATGGCTCCGCCCTATAGCCTAAAATGACGGCTAAACCTATTCTTTTGGGGATTTGTCATGCATGTGAGACGTGTAGATAACTTCCGTTTATGCCAAAAAAGAATCTACATCCCCTTGTGGTGACGTGGAGTTGAGAGTTGGGCCTTGTGCACACCGGCTTCAGCTTGTATAAGACAACAAGCTATTACAAAGCAGTCCCAGGGCTTTCTGCTACAGAAACTTCACGCAGCTTTGTTGAAGCGCCTTTCAGCTCCAGTTTGGGGAAGTTAAATTTTGAACCTAAAGAGTAGCTCTAGGTAACATTTGTGAACACCTTGGGGGGGAGGGTTTAGACTCTCTGTCAAGTTTTTATTGCTGTCTGTATCCACATTGAGATGATTCACCCCCCCTATTTGTACTGGGGACCATTGCCACCAAGAGGGAGAGTCAAATCCATAAATTTAGCGTTGTCCCCACAACAAAAGGTGAGGGAAAATCTTCCAATGGGGACACCTGTTTCAGGTAACCAAAAGGCGAATTCCCTTGATTTGGGAAATTTCCTTTTACTTGCTCCCTGGGATAGGAAGTGAAGGGAAATGTCCCCAATGGTACCAAGCCAGCAGAAAATAACCCTTCCCTACTCTATCCCAAACTGGAAAAAGGAGGTTTTGTCTATACATACACTAAGCGTGCTCACTAGCACTTGACACGCGAAGCTGCCGGCAGGCTCCAGTAAGTCTGTGTGGAAACCATCATCATGAATGTGATTTGTATTCATTCTGTATTATTTTCCTGTCTCTTCCAGTGTTACAGACCAGAGAAAAGATCACCACAAACTGTTACAAGTTTAAAATCAAAGATGGTTCCTTCATCACCCTTAAAAGTCGCTGGTTCAGTTTCATGAACCCGTGGACCAAAGAAGTAGAATACATCGTCTCTACCAACACTGTTGTTTCGTAAGTTTTGGAATAAGTCGAATTTCTCCTGTCACATGATCTGCCTGCACTGGTGTCTGTGCTTTGATGACTCTTCATGCCGTGTCTCTGATTTGTCCTGTGACCGGCATTTTACCGATAGGCAGTTTTTACATAACGCGGCTAAAGCTTGAAAGTAACACAATCAGCTTAAGTCTGAACTCCGGCCTTCCCTTAGCACAGTTGTACCGGCTCCTCTCCTGGACTGAAATTGATTCCTCTGATTTGCACACTGTGAGCAATGTGTATTAGAATCTGCAGCAAGTCCATATAGAACCCACCTCATTTCCTGGCTGCACGCTCCATTAAGCCCTTTCCTCTCAGGCCCGGTGCAGAGCCACGCGATCCGGGATCCCACGGTCCTGCACAATGCCACGTAGCCCCATTGATTTCAATGGGGTGACATCCGCGCGGCAATCGCAGAAAAAAGGTACATGTACCTTTTTTTTGCCATACATGACGCGCGGCTGTTTTAGCTGCTTTATCGTGTTCAGAAGCACGGGCAGGGACCCGCGTGAACAGCCCGGCGCGACTGGGGTGCCATTAGAAAATAATGGCACCCACAGCGCGATCGGTGCACACCTAGGAGACTCCTGACCGCGCGGAAGCGTGCATGATTGCCGCGCGGTGAGGTGTTGCCTAGGTGTGCACCGACCTTAAAGCCTCGCTATACCTGCTTTCAGGTAGCAGGTCCTGCACTCTTCTGGTGTCCAGTACACTCTAGTGGAGTTGATGCTCCAACGGCACCCTCGGGTTGTGGACACTGGGAGGAGCTTGTTCCAAGTAAAGCACGAGGTATGCCAGCCACACTGCTGGAAACCGACAAAAACACATAATGGTAAAAGATCTATAGAGTGTATTTAGGCAAAAAACAAGCACCCCCCCCCTTTTTCAACTCTGCCGCTCCAGGAGGGAGGAAGCTTTGTGTAAGGTCCATGTTGTAACTTGGAGCTTACAGAGGGCTGAGCATTCTCCACCCCGCTCCATGTGACAGCGATTGGGTATGTAATTGACCAGTCACCAAACTGCTCCATTCTCACATGACAGGAAGGAGATAGTCACATGATTCCCATGCCTGGAAGTATCGGGTATTTCTCTATACTCCTGTGGGTACAATGCAATGGCAGGGACGTTCTTTTGTGGAGAGGGAGACTTAAAGTGAACCTGTTGCTTAGCCCTGCATGGAATGGCAGCCTGGTATTGTTGCTGTTGTGAACGCCGGTGTACACAGATATTATATATTGATCTATTGATCACTCTTTTTCCTGTTTTATTTTCCAGGACAAACATTGTAGACAGTGGAGAGTCCTTCTCTCACTTGTCTGCCTCTCCGCCCAGCATGGACAACGTCTTACAGTCAGGGGAAGGTAAGTGGTACTTTATTTCTTCATATACAGACCAGCAGTTATCTGATTTCTTCATGTCTGCTAATAACATTGACAGTATACGACCCACAGACAGAGGAGACGGCCCTTTCTGTTAGGGAATGTGGATGAATAGCACTGAGGCTGTGTAGCTATAGAGAATCCGAATATTGGGCTGACAGCTTCTGCACACCGAAGGGATTCCACAATCACCTTGGGCTGTGATAAGGATGAATGAATCTAGAATTGAAGCACCACACCGTGATATTCCAGCCCACATACAAACTTATTCCGTTAATAGAGCCAATGCGTTCCAGGAGCTGTAACCCTTTCCCCTTCATCGGGCTTAGGAAAATTAAACAATGTATGTGGAGTCTGCAATCAATATATAGTTGGGTGTTATTAAAGAGTTATGAGCATGCACAGCATTGCAGCCCACACACACTGTCCACATGCATGGTCCTAAGCCCTGATGAAGGGGGCGGAGTTACAGCCCCCGAAATGCTTTGAATTGTGTGTTGGGCGAGTCAGTTCACTAGGAACAAAGTCACTGAAATCAATTATCTGCCATTTTTTGAGGCACACAATGGTCACAAGTACACCTTATCCTTTATTATTGCAGGTGGCACGAAGAGGCCCCATCCGGCAGTCCCCGGCCTCCCTGGGGGAACGCGAGCCGGGGCCGGCAAGATAGGCAGGATGATTGCTGAGGAAGCCTTAGAAATTCACAGGTAACGTGTCACAGAATCCGATTCATCCGTAATAATATAAATATATACATAGACCTCCCCCGCAATGGGATCTCACGGCTCCTCTTTATTACACGATCAGAAGGGGGGGAAAGGTAGAGAGTATGATCCATTCTTTTCTGTCGGTGTGACTCATGGCAGCAGCGTGCAGCATTTGCTGATGGCAATTTATAAAAATAGGTCCTTTGTCACGACACGCTGAGCTTTCTTCCCACTTAGCGGCACAATGCAGCCAAAAAAACAAAGTGAAAAATCTACATAACCGTTTTCATCCGCCGAAATAAACACTGTGAAGTAATGCCCATGTAAGCGTGTTCTCCCCCCCCCAAGCTGCCCCCATATGCATTGCCCCGCCTCCTCAGAGCGGCCATCAGCACACTGGTCATGCCCAACATTAAGTTTGCTCCCTTTGTAAGGCCACTCATGTACCTCCCTCTCCAGCCCATCAAATCAGCAGGCACACCCACTGCAAGCCTGATTTTAGTTTTCAGTGGGTATGTTGTAACTCGGTATAAGGACACGTTTCAGGTATTCACACTGACGAAACGAAAAGATGAACCTCCGAGGGAACAAGGGAAGCAAAGTGTGTGATTATACCCTCGTAAGCAAACCTGTGGAGCATATACTCAGCTTCACTTTGGTTCCCCGCCGCTGCTCCACTCAGCACTGGAAATACCTCCGGCATGGAGGAGCATGCGACTCACTCCATGTGACAGCACTGAGCCAATCAGCACTGTCACAGGGGGAAGTCCATATCCCTTTGGTGAGCTAGGAGTCCATCCACCAAACTTTGCTTTCGCTCCTGGTTGCTGAACAGGGCTGAGAAAAGCACATGCGCACTTGCAGCTTTCCATCATGTATGTGCTGATTGGTTGCCTCCCTTGTCTTGTATATCGGTTGGTTTGTATGGAGAATCTGGTGATCACGATGAACACATCTGTTTGCTCATGTGAGTGTTCCCATTATCCTTCATACCATCCAAATCTACCCCTGTGCTGCCCAATCTCCAAATCCGTAAGACCGGGCTACCCGTTCCTGATTTGCATTCAGTCATTTTTGGGCAGCCGATATAATTTAATGGAATGCAAATTGGTGATGGGAGGAAGATAATCAATTCCACTGCATGGCACTCCAACAACGGAGCAGCGAGACCGATCATGAGGCGACTTACTCTTCTAGGATCACAGCTTGAACTGTACAAGTCTGCCCTCTGCTGCTCCAAAGTAACACTGCGGCTGTATAAAGCCTCTGTACATCCTGACCATGAACTTCTCTTTATTTGGCCCCTTTTGGGCTGATAAATATACAATTTAAATCGATCTGTTTAATGAGTGAGAAAATACCCCTGAATCCTGCCAGGACTTCCTGTGCCTTTCTACCTGTGCATAGTGGGGGGTATGGAGATAAGGGGGAGGAGCTGGAGAGGGGTCATGGAGATGAAATGGGATTAAGGGGCGGGGGAGGAATGAGGAGGGGTTGTGGACCTGTTGAGGGGTTATGGAGATGAGTAGAGATGATGTGGATTATGGAGATGAGGGTTTATGGACATCAGGAGCGGTTATGGGGAGGAGCCGTTGAGGGGTTACGATGATGAGGCAGGGCTATGGAAATGAGGAGTGGGCAAAGAGGAGGAGAGGTTATGGAGATGAGGGGCGGTTTATGGAGATGAGAACGGAGGGAGTAGATAAGGGGGAAGGGATGATGAAGTGGGGTTATGGAGATGAGAAGGAAGAGGAGATGAGGTGGGGTTATGGAGATGAGGTGGGGTTATGGAGAGGCGGAGAACGGTTATGGAGAGGCGGAAGAGGGTTATGGAGAGGCGGAGGGGTTATGGAGAGGCGGAGAGCGGTTATGGAGATGAGGAAGAGGGTTATGGAGATGAGGAAGAGTGTTATGGAGATGAGGAAGAGGGTTATGGAGATGAGGAAGAGGGTTATGGAGAGGCGGAGAACGGTTATGGAGATGAGGAGAAGGGTTATGGAGATGAGGAAGAGGGTTATGGAGATGAGGAAGAGTGTTATGGAGATGAGGAAGAGGGTTATGGAGATGAGGAAGAGGGTTATGGAGATGAGAAAGAGGGTTATGGAGATGAGGAAGAGGGTTATGGAGATGAGGAAGAGGGTTATGGAGATGAGGAAGAGGGTTATGGAGATGAGGAAGAGGGTTATGGAGATGAGGAAGAGGGTTATGGAGAGGAGGAGGGGTTATGGAGAGGAGGAGGGGTTATGGAGAGGAGGAGGGAACTCTGGGCCTTTGAGTACCCCCGTTGGGCAGGTGGGACATACGGCGTCTGTGTTGCTGTAACATTGTCCATTGTTTGTTATACAGAATTAGGGGGTCCTCCCCATCAAGCTGCGGATCGAGTCCCCTGAACATCACCACCACCCCCCCTCCAGATGTCTCCTCCCCCGGGGTTAAAAAGGTGAGTTCCCTGCACTGTAGGAGGAGCGATTTATCACAAGGGGAGCCGTGACGTAATGAAGTCATTTATTATCGGTATTTCTATCACGCTGTCACGTTACATACTATTCAGTCACATCAGCCCTCATACACCCTCCATGTCATATACACCCTCCATGTCATATACACCCTCCATGTCATATACACCCTCCATGTCATATACACACACAGAGTTACATAGAAGGAGAGGTGGAACAAGGACAAGGTTCTTCAGGTTCTACCTGTATACTGGTGACAACATACACAGGAGCCAGCTAACCTACCAGCATGTCTTTGGAGTGTGGGAGGAAACCGGAGGACACCCACACAGCACAGGGAGAACATGCAAACTCCATGCAGATAGTGTCCTGACATAACCAGGATTTGAAACCTGGACCTCAGTACTGCAAAGTGCTAACCAAAGAGTGACTCCAGTCTCAGGACTTTGCCCATCCCCCTGTTTCCAGTAGACTTGCTCTGAAGGTTGGCAGGCTGCAAATCAACAGGAGGGGGAGGCAGGGAAAACGGAACTGCAGGGTCACAGCGGGGAGGGGGAGCAGTGGGAGATGACCTGCAGGGTCACAGCGGGGAGGGGGGAGCAGTGGGAGATGACCTGCAGGGTCACAGCGGGGAGGGGGGAGCAGTGGGAGATGACCTGCAGGGTCACAGCGGGGAGGGGTGGGGGTGAGCTGGGAGGGGGAGCAGACAGATAACACACTCTAAAACTGGTATTATTAACAATATTATGTCCCTGTCTGCACCTGAGTCCTGCTGCAGAATTCCTGTGTGCTGCCTGTACTGCAGAGGTCTGCTCAGGTCTCGTGCCGACGTTTCCGGCAGCCTGTTATGATTGGCTGATAGGGATTGTGGGATCACTCGGCCGCTGTGTGCTCCTCCTATGACCGGCTCCGTACAAAACACATTTCTGAACTTTTTTTTTCTCCTGTTTTTCCAGATTTTAAATGGCGGTCCCCTGGACCTCCCGAGCTCCGGATTAGGACCCGGGCAGCTGCAGGACAATTCCGGCTTCCCGTATTCCGACAATTCCTCCATGATGGGTAAGAAGCTGTGAGGACGGAGATGACAAGACACCCTCAATGACATCTGGAGCGGCTGCGCACGGCAACCAATCAGCTTCTCTCTTTCATTTTCAAATCCTAACTGACCAAACTGAAGAGAGAAGCTGATTGGTTGCCGTGCACAGCTGCTGCAGTTTTGATAAATTCCCCTCCCCCGAGTATCCATCGTGTCGGAAGGCAAGGATGTTCTCGTTGCTCACGGCAACCACGTTCTCCCTGGATCACAGAGAGACTGCTATGGGCAGATTCAGATGAAGAACCTTCCTTCCTTCCCGACGACCGACCGAGTTTTACTAAGAAGCAGCTTCATTTAAAGTAGATGGAACCCCCGATCACTAAATTCTCCCTTCCTCTTCTACATGATCATGTGATTTTCAATATTGTTACATCTGCAGTAAGTCTAAATCCTTGCTGATCCCGCCATAGAGGCCCTTGTTCAGGCACTTCCTGTTATAGGGTGACACAGCTCCGTCCCTGTCTCCAAATTGTTCTCCGGTCTTAGCACCCTGACACAGAAGCTTTCGCTGGAGAACGCATGTAGACATTTCATTCTTTTCTTGCCAGAGCCGTGTTTGCATCTCTTTTGCACACATTATAAAATGCAAATTTTCGGCCTGAAGATGACTTAAAGGAGAACTATGAGGGGGGAGGGGGTGTGCTTTTCACTCACCTCCTCATAGTTCTAGCCGACCTGTGACAATGAGACTGTCACAGGTCGGAGGTGAGCGAACACATACCGGCGTTCGCTCTCTTCTTTTAACCCCCCCCCCCCCAAGTTATATATTTCCCGGAAGCAGAGACCCCAGAGAATAAAATGGCGGTAGTTGCAATTATTTTTTAAACGATCAGATGCAGGTTGTCAGTAAAGCGACCCCACTGTGTGATAGCAGACGAGTGGTGACGGGTTTTATGGACATATGTCACCAGCACACCGGAGAAATGTATGCAAACTATTGGCACGTAAGGTCACAAGGACGGCAACGTTTCAGGACCACGCAGCGTGCCTTCCTCAGGCTCAGTATGACAGGTTGTTTTTAAGGAGACAGTAAGGTCTCGTTCACACCTAGGCGTATTGCAAAGTCGCGCGACAAACGCGCGTTTACGAAGGCTACTTGGCTGTATCCCAATGGAAACGCGCAACAAAACGGCCCAAAGTAGTACCTGGACCTTTTCAGGCGTGGGCCGTTTTATAGCGCGTTAGGGACGGGCGGAAATACGCCGAGGTGGGAACGAGACCATTGAATACAATGGGATTTATATTTTTGAGCGTTTTGTAGAGCGTTCGTCGAGCGTAGAACGCGCTACAAAACGTTCAGGTGTGAACGAGGGCTAAGGGGGTCGGTCTCTGAGAACTTTTGGCAGCCGGAGGAAGTGATCACCCCGGTAGTCTGCATACAGGGCCCTGCTGCTGTCACTGTATGGCATACGGCGACGACAGCCAAAGTGAACACACATTACACAGACACGGTCCAGTGTTGTCACCATCGGGAAATCCGCCCTGAGAAATGCCATGGCAGCCTGGATCACTGGAGAGCATGTAGACAGGAAGTGGCTGGAGGAGATCAGCAGCACTGAGAATGTAATAAAGGATGAAAAAATGGTGAAAATAAGAATTGTATTATTTCAAAAGTCTCAGTTTATACGCAGAGAGCGCAGAGCCAACTAGATCTGATCCAGTTCGTGTTTTCATCGACTTCACTTGCCGGGTTCCCCTCCCTGTATTCTGTCCTTCCCATATGAGGAAATGTTACTTCCAGCAGTATAAAGGACATCAGTACTCAGCCCATAGGCCGGGGTCAGCATGCATTGTTGTGTAGACGTTCAGACTTCTTAGGCTTGTGACAGATTTCCCATAGTGACTTGCTCAGCGATGCTCCCAACGCAGTAACACAACTTGTCTCGGTTGCAGGCGAGAACTCCCAGATGGGGATCGACATGATAGAAACGGACCACGGATCGAGCAGCCCCAGCAACGACGAGGCAGCCATGGCGGTGATCATGAGTCTCCTGGAAGCAGATGCAGGACTCGGCGGCCCGGTGGATTTCAGCGACTTACCCTGGCCGTTGTGAATGGGGGACTTCTCCAGACCACTCATCGTCCGCAAGCATCAAAGTGCATTATGGGAGCTACAGAACGACTTCAGTGCCACACACACACACACACGGGCCCGCAGACCCCTCAGGGTGGCCAACGAGCAGCTGCCCTCCCGGTGCAGAGGAGACACAACGCGGCTTGTCTGTCTGTCCTACGTTCTATCGGATCACTCACTTTCCGACGTATTAGACGCGCTCCGGTGATCCGGCTAGTGGTGTGTAGCTTCTTGCAGTCGTCGTATATTTGGAAATCGCGTTTTTTGTTTTTCTAAATCGTTGTGCAGAGGAAACCCGGCACCGTTGTCAGCGAAATCTTGTCATTTCAGACGTATGATGTGTTTACACAGCAGAGCTCCCCACTCGGATATTTCTATATTATTACTTGTAAAAAGATGTTTTATTGTAAGAATCTCTCTCTCTCTCTCTCTATATATATATATATACATGGTACAGTGTCATAGGTAAATATTTTTTAAATAAATTGTTTAATTGTTCTATAGCTGCTGCCGCCGCTCCCGTCACCTTTTCTGATTTATGGAACCAGATGATGAACTTTAACACCGAGTATAAAATGTTTCTAAATATTGGGGGGAACGCGGTATTTTTATACCGTAATAAGGATTTGGTGAGGTTTTTCACCTCATGAGAAATGTTCTCCTTTTATCACGAAGTCAATGGGGGGAATTTTATTAAAATTGGAGCAGACAAAATGTGGAGCAGTTGCCCATGACAACCAATCAGCTTCTCTCTTTAGTTTGTTCAGTTAAGATTTGAAAATGAAAGAGAGAAGCTGATTGGTTGCCGTGCACAGCTGCTCCAGTTTTGATAAATTCCCCTCAGTGTGTCACTGCCGAGGTTCAAGTGGAAAGGTTGAGGTTTTTTTTTGTTACTCAAACCTGTTCTCTCCGCCCCACCCTGGTTCTCAAAGCACTCAGTGCAAACATTTCCCATGGAATCACCAGGTCCAGTCATAGTGTTGCTCCATCTGGGAGGATATTCAGCCTCTGTGGACATCATGGATGCATACCCCTCCCTTCCAGTAACGCTTCCTGTGTTTCCCTGTGGGCACACAATACCACGTTTCCCCGAAAATAAGAACGCTGTCTTGTTTTGTTTTGAGCCTAAAAAAAATGTCTAATTTTTTTTTAATGTACAACAGTCTACATGTATTCATGTAACAAAATATGGTGATCAGGGCAATCGGGGGTGCCGAACCTTTCCAAGAGCAATTTGCTAACCAATCGCTGGCCAGAATGGGCGAAGCGCACTTTCACTATCGATACCTCACAGGCGGCGTGCATTTGGTATCACTCCGCCTGTGACAGGAGACGGCGCTATAGAGGAGGCATCGGCTTATGCGGCTCTGCTCCCTCCGGTGCCGCCTCGCTTCCTCTAGCGCTGGCTACGTTGGCACTGCTGAGTCTCCCCCGCGGCTCTTCAAGTTCCCCCTTATGCCACCACCGGCCCTGGGAATGGTCACAACTAGGTCTTATTTTCGGGGTAGGTCTTATTTTTGGGGAAACGGGGTGTGGGTGTGTGTCTGTTTTCTGCAACACTTTCTATGCTCGCAGAGAATTCCCAACTGGCAAACTTGGATGATTCCCTACTGAGAGAACAGTTGGCACAGATCTACAGGTGAAACTCGAATAATTAGAATATCGTGCAAAAGTAATTGCAGTAAGTGCTGCAAAAGGGGCCCAAACCCAGTACTGAGTACATATGCATGCTTGTACTTTTCAGAGGTCCGATATTGTTCTATGTACAATCCTTGTTTTATTGATTGTATGTAATAATCTACTTTTCTGAGGTTGTGGATTTGGGGTTCTTGGGGTTTCCATGAGCTGTAAGCCATAATCATCACAATGATGACAAATCACGCCTTGAATTATCTTGCTTTGCATGTAATGAGTCTCTCTCATATATTAGTTTCACCTTTAAGTTGCATTAGTGAAATAAATGAACTTTGCACGATATTCTAATTATTCGAGTTTCACCTGTATATGGACAATGTCAGCCATGCAGTCCAGATCCTATGAAGGTCCGGTTGGATCCTGAACCTTCAGAAGTCAGCGCTGGAATGGGCTCGCTTGCAATATATGGGTCTGATCCTAGATACAAACGAAAGTCAATGAACCCATCGCACTCCTGACCACTTATTCCATATGAGTTGGAGGGATGCAGCGGTAGTCAACGGATGGCAACTGTCATATACATGAATGGAAATTGGGACACCGGCGCTCCAGATGCAGATCAAATGCGTCCAGTCAGTGTGATATGCTGCATTTATGTCAATAAAGAGACGCATTTGATCTGCATCTGGAGTGCCGGTGTCCCGCTTTCCTTTTTATGATCCCAGATACAGCCCAGTCCAGAGTTTTACCTCAGCAAGAGGAAACTTCTTAGTCTTCCCTTTTCAGATACAGACCCTACAGTCAGGCAGCCACCCAACTCTCCACTTTTGGCTGATGGTAATCTTCTTCAAGGCCGTGCCATTTACCAAGTTCAACTCCAGACCATCGCAACTCAACATTCTGGCTGCATGGGGACAAGAAGGATCAGTCACTGGCCATTACCAATGCGCTTGACAACAAGGACCTGGGTTGTGTCTAGCCCGGTGGCTCACTGATCCAGAGCTGGAGTGGGGCAGGGGAATCAGTAGTGGATGCCTCGGTGGCTCTGTGGGATCAGTGCAGTCTGATCTACACCTTTCCTCCTCCGAAGCTCTCTCCTTGTCTGCTCTGTAGGGTTGAGATGAAGGGCATTCCACTGATTCTCATCAAACCAAACTGACCCAGGAGGATGTGGTACCCCAACCTCATCAGACACCCCCATGGTACCTCCTGTCCCGAGGGCCAGTTTACCACCCGTGGCTTTGATGGCTTGGCTGTTAAAGCTCGGGTCCTAAGAGATGGGTGTCTGTCTGACGCGATCATTCCTATGATCCTGATTAGGAAATCCACATCACACAAGGCCTACCATCGCATGTGGAAAGTAGGGATGTCCCGATACCGATGCGAGCGTCGGAATCAGGCCCGATACAGGGCATGCGCCGCAGCTAGCGCTGGTTTTTTTTTGTGTAACTTTACCTTCCGCGGTGGGGTCCTCTGGGCAGGCTGAGCGGAGGAGCGTCGCGTCACTGCTGTGGGCGGAGCTCCAGGTGGGGGGGGTCCTAATGTAGGTGTCCGTCGACTGCCCAGAGGATCCCACTCAGAGCGCCGCCCACCGGAGTAGCAGTGAGGCGATGCTCCTCTGCGGCCAACGGATGTGCTTCAGTGCCGGTGAACACCTGAGAGCAGCGGCGAGTGATTATGTAATAAAGTGGCAGGACGTGGCACCGCCCAGCAAAGCAGGCCATGCTGATGCTGCTAGCTCTCCAATCTTAAAACAAATGTATGGCATATAACATTCAGCTGGCCACATAGGTGACATCAGTGTTCCACTGCCATGTCTGGTCATGCTGGCGCTTGTAGTTCTCCAATAAATAGGGCAACTTTACCGTCACTTGTTAATTGCTTACGCTATTGTTTAGCCATTACTGCCCAGTGCATGGCCGCCATTGTTCTTTAAAAGGTGAGCTCATGAGGCCATCATGGTGCTTGTAGTTCCCAAATGAAGATGTCTTCTCGCCGACAGGTAAGTGCCCCAGCTGTTGCCTAATAAAGCCGGCTGACACTTGTAGTCCCCCCCTCCTGCCACACACTCCCATAATCCAGAGATACAGTATGTGGTCATTATATATCCGTCTGCAGAGCAGATGACATCAGAGTGACCATACAGTCAGGATACGCCTGCGGATATGTGCGATAGCCCCACAGGAGATGGCGGGGCTCACGATGGGGCAGAACATGCTGATACCTGTAGTTCCCCAGTGGTTACATAAATGAAAGCAACACCCATGATGACTATAGATCCCATAGAGGAGGCTATGCACCATAAGACTATGTGAGCTACACATTGTACAAAAGCCACGTTCCATTAGATCAGGGGTGGCAAACTCCGGCCCTCCAGCTGTTGTGGAACTACAAGTCCCTTGAGGCTTTGCAAGATTCTCACAGCCACGACTCGCAGAGGCAGATGCATCATGGGATTTGTAGTTTCACCACAGCTGGAGGGCCTGAGTTTGCCACCCCTGCATTAGATAAACACAGGGGATGCCAGTGTCCTATGGCAGTGCTCAGTAACTGCACAATGGGGCGGGGCATACCTGTACCTGTATTTTAACCATGAATAGGTTAAATCATGATCCATAGTACATAACATGTAGTTGTACTATGGATCATTTAAAGTCACCTGTCCCTTTAAAAAAAGGGGGGGAAAAAAAGTATCGGTAATTGGTATCGGCAAGTACATGAGGGGGAAGTACTTGGTCCTCATAAAGTGGTATCGGGACATCCCTAGTGGAAAGCATACGTCACCCGGTGGCTTCAGCCCGGCAAATACTCCATGGGCCTCCTTTCTACAATCCAGCCTGGCTCAACTATTGGCTGATTGAATACCATCAAGAGGCAAATTTCATCTCTCACGATTCTGATCCAAAACGCAGATTGCTTCGTCTCCCCTTGTCAAGGCCAAAAATCCCCCTGAAGAACTTTCCACCCAAATTTTAAAATAAGGACTTTTTTCTTTATTTGAATGCAAAACATACAATCATTTATATCAGAAACAATTCTATCGGTAAACTTCTCCCCGGAAAGATTGTGTGGCGTAAGGCATTGCTGCAGTTCGGTACATCTGTCCGCAAAGTAAAAAAAAAC